ATTATGTTTGAGATGCTTCACCTCCTCTTGCAAAGATGTAATTCGAGCTACCAAGTGAGAAAAAAGTTCAAGTATATAGTCACTGAAAGAAGTCTTTTGTTCAAAGTTACCATTTAGTTTTTTTTTAAATGTGCTAAATTTCCTGGGGCAGTACCTGTGGCTCAGTGAGTAGGGCACCAGCCCCATATAGTGAGGGTGGCAGGTTCAAACCCAGCCCCAGCAGAACTGCAACAACAACAAAATAGCCAGGCGCTGGGGTGGGCACCTATAGTCCCAGTTACTCGGGAGGCTGAGGCAAGAGAGAGTATGAGGTTGCTGTGAGCTGTGATGCCACAGCACTCTACCAAAAAAAAAAAGAAAGAAAAAGAAAAAGAAAATGTATTAAATTTCCTGATAAGATAAAATTTTTTTTTTTTTGAGAGAGTCTCAAGTGGTCACCCTGGATAGAGTGCAGTGCCTGTCATAGCTCACAGCAACCTCCAACTCTTAAGCTCAAACGATCCCCTTGCCTCAGTTTTTCCATTTTTAGTAGAGACAGGGAGGGGTCTTACTTTTGCTGAGGCTGGTCTCGAACTTGTGAGCTCAAGCTATCTACTTATCTCAGCCTCCCAGAGGGTTAGGATTATAGGCATGAAAAACCACAGGTGGCCAAAATAAAATTTATTAAGTGTTTTCTCTGTAGTTTACACAATAAACACAACATGTAGTGACCCTGCCACTCCTGGGTACTAGGTACAGATCCAATAGGAAGCACATATATGAGTATAAAAAAAAACATATACAAGAAAGTTTACATCTGCACTATTTAATATAGCCCCCAAATGGAAATAATCACAATCTTTATTCCCCACAGAATGACTGATAAGTAAATTGCAGTGATGATACATAGTAAGTGGGATAAGCAGGAAGAATAAAATACCACCAGACACAGGCAGTCCAAGGTGGAGAATGAGTTCTGCAGGTCTGACCTTAAATTGAATTTGTATGTAGGTTGGAACAGGCACATTTACCTATTATCTGTAATAGCCTCTGTTCCTAAGTACGAGTCATACTTCAGTTGGATGTCTGTACCTTGTGGACTGCCTGTGCAACAACACAGATGACCCTCACAAATATGATGAATGAAATAAACCAGACATGAAGGAGTGTGCATTGCATGATTCCACTTATAAAACATTCAGAAATGAGCCAAACTACTTTGTAGTGTAGTAAGTCATGATAGTGAATATTTAGAAGGGGGAAGGAGGATACTGACTGAGAAGAAGCGCAGGGGATTTCTGGGTTGCTGGTAATGTTCAATGCTGGATTCTTCTTCTTTTTTTTTTTTTTTTTTTCGAGACAGAGCCTCAAGTTGTCCCCCTGGGTAGAGTGCCATGGCATCACAGCTCACAGCAACCTCCAACTCCTGGGCTCAAACGAGTCTCCTG